AACTTGCTACAAGCCGGTTCGCGGTACCGGCGGTCGACATCTCCAGGCGCGCTTATCGCGTGTTGGTGTCGACCGCCGTCGATTGGCGGTTGACAGAGAGAATAGACGGCGCGGATTTCCGCGCACAGGCCGTTTGAATTCAAACGGCTATTACGCGGGACCGCGTCATATAGTTAGTCCAAGCACAATTGAAAACTCTCACAAGGTATTTATGTTTACAGACATAACAGAGTCCTATTGTGAATATGTTGAAAAACCAAGTACGTATGATAATTAATAACTAATAGCTAATGAAGTTGTGTTGAAAATTAAATTTTATTTTTAATACCGTAATAGTACTTAATTATCTAGTGTGTTTACATTATCAATGTTACATAGAGGCCATGACTTATAATAAAATAAGAATATGGTGTTTGAATTACTGCAGTAATATGTATTGTATTTAATGCAAAATATTTATTTGGGGATCTAATAAATGCTTGACTGTAGCAAATTTCAAGGCATTTGTTGTAACATTAATTTAACATCAATGGGTAACAGTCCTACGTAAAAAAAAAAACAATTTATTGGAAGAAAATATCTTCATAGATTTTCCAGCTTAAATAAATTGCACATCAAGAACAGGTTATTTCCGAAGTGGACATGATAATATATTAATTCAGAAATCTGGGGTGTCGTGTATTGGAAACTATAGATTATTCTATATATTTTTGGTTTTTTAAAATTTTGTTCAACAAAATCTTTTCAGCTCGGTAAAAAGTATTGATAGAATTATTAAAATTCAAGAGATTTAAAATAATTTTTTATTTTATGATAATATTACAAATTTGCATTATTTTCATTTCATCTGCTATTGTTGGCAGTATCATATCACGGCGAATTATTTTGTTTATTTCGAACCGGTAGGATTCACAGTGATGGTCTGAAGTGCGATGTTTTGATGACGTTGTATTAAATTGATGTTAGACTTATTACTGGTATAACCCAACAATTGAATGCTATAAATGCAGATCGGGTCAAAATATTTAATAATAAATTTTTAAATTATGCCAATAGAAAATATTTATAATCAGTCTGTGTTGATTAAAATGTTGCATTGTTAAAGGTCAAAATTAGTATTCATATTTCATATACAATCGAGACCTAGGGGGTTTGTTGTGAGGCTAGCTAATAAACTCAATCAACCATTCTAATAATAATTTATCTTCATGTTTTAGGTAATCATGTATCGGGAGATATGTTTCAACTCTACTGTCAACGTTATACTCATGTTCCAAGTTTTAAAATAAAAAAATAAAAATAATAAAAATACAGACAGCAATTCTATATCATCAATATTATAATAACTTTAAAACATGATTAAATAATAAATATTATATTTTTAACATTATTAAAACATTATTCTGATCTTATAAAAGTAACATTAAAATTTAAATATTTCTTAAATATGCTCCAAATGTTTTTTTTTAAATATTAAATTTCCAATTCCAGAATAATATTATAATAAGATTAGAAAATCAACTTCAAATAATATTATATTGGAAATATTATTTGTATGTTTTGAATTGGTTATATTTACAATATTATAACTATAATTGTAGCCGCACTCGGCTTTAATATGGATTGCTTGAATAATATATTAAAACGCCTTTACGGCAGAAAGGCAGGCTACCCAAAGTGCTGCACTACCAACCAAAAATAAGAGGATGATATAATTAATATAGTATGYATARTAATAATTGAGTTTTATTTTAACAATAATATAAGTAATAAATAGTAGCCCTGCTGGCTCATCAATACATAAGACAGTATAATAATGTAAATTTGAGCCTGATGGCTTAATGCAACAAGATATAAATATAAAGATTGGCCTAAGTCGGCTGACAATAAATATATGATATGTTTTGCCTAATCTGGCTATACAAAGAAAAATATATAATAATTGGCCTAAGCTGGCTCAATCCAACCGTATAATATAATAAGTTTGCCTAAGTTGGCTATACAAAAGTGTAATAATAATAATAATAATAATAATAATACTGAGGCTCGTCAGCCTGTTACCTGGGAACTGGTGTCCGTTGGCGGCTTCGAACCAGAACGCTACCGTCTCGGGACGCCCACACTTGTACAATAAAAATAATACAATAKAAAATAAAGTGTGTGACAATCCCGAGAACGTACGACCAACGGGCCACCAGTTCAACGAATAACTCAAAAACAACTTGACACCAAAAACAATAAATTATACACTTGACGATCACGTGGTTCTGTAAGTCCGTGTGACTTGACCGCCCTGAATTGGGGAATAATAATTAGAATTTTTGTATAATATGATTGTGATACTCACAGAACCGCTGATACTATGATGACTAACAACAAAAAATGAACAAACGATGAACAAATATGAGTATATTAAAAAGAATTTTTAATTAATGTAGTAACACGAATGGTATATAATGTAACACCACTGGCTGGGAATTATAACCGTGCAGCTCGAGAGGCGGAAAAAGAAGAACAAGAAAAACGAACGACAATGTGAGCACTACGACAAAAACAAAAGTATGAAGTACGAAACGAAAGCTCAGTGCCACCTACACAAATGAAAACACGCGAACTTATGGACCTGTCGGAGACACTGAGGAGAATGACTTTTAAGAATACATGAAACATTACAACATAACCGAATTTATTTCGACCGCACACACACGATACGAAATAACGAAAACATTTTAAACRRAAAATGAGATAACGGCTGCACGCACGCACCGGACGGTTATCACACAACAGCTGTTGTCAACCGCACCGCGGTGGCGCACGATACGAACCGGTACCTCAACACGAAATTCACAAAACGAAAAACCCGCCAAACGAATAACATTCAAAAACCAATGTTGGCGACAACAATAATTATAAAAAAACATTTAAAAAATATTTTCAAAATAATGTTATATTAATTTGATTACCTAATGTTATTATAATATTATTGTAGAATTAAAAATGAAATGTTATAAACAAAAATGTGCTCTCAATGTTTTTTTTATAATATTATATTTATAATTCCACAATAATATTATAATACGATTATGTAATCAACTTAATATAATATTTTTTTGAACATATTCTTTGTATGTTTAGAATTGGTTATATTTCCAATATTATAATTATATTTATGAAAAATATTTAAAGAATATTTTAAAATAACGTTATATTAACTTGATAACCTAATATTATTGTACTACCTATATTATAAGAAATTTAATATTATAAAAAAAAATGATATTAAGATTAGATTTAAAGTTTAACTTTATTATTAGTTTTTTCTGTTCATGATAATATATATAAAAATACCCATTATATAACACAACTCATCCATTGGGCATAATATGTAATATAATATATTTAATTATTATACCTAGCTATACCTATATACATCTCTACATATTAATTTTATGTAGGTACTGCAGTACATTTGTGACATTATGTAGATGATTATATCATCTTTCATATCTATTATGACATGTATTCATAGAATAAGTAAGTGGTAATAGTTGTTATAGAAGATAAGCCACAGTGGATTTTTTGGATATTCATTATTCATTGATATTTTATAATTTGTGGATTTTAAACTATATTATATAGTGTTGTTGTTTGTTGTTAATATACGCGTATGTAGTTAAGTATTACGTAAAATATCAAAAAAAAGTTCAAACCATATAATCAGTGGTGTATTGGGGGGTATACGGGGGTATACGGCGTATACCCAATACGCTATTTGTATCCATGGCGTATAGCTTATGACAAATTAATGATACGCTGGTATACGGCCGTATCTACCGTAAACCCTAGATGGAAATTTTAAATGATATATGAATTATTGTAAAATACCTATATTTTGAGCGTGAATTGTACCTAATATAAGACGTAACGAATATTTTATATTTTTATGAACAATTATTATCATTTAAAAATCAAGGTTATCACTTATCAGCCTTGTAAAAAAACATATCAATAGAACAATTAGAGTATTAGATTCTTTTAAAAATGTACCAGGAGAACTATGTCTGAAGTTTTAAAAATTAAAGATACTATGAAATTCAAAAATATTCATCTTTTCACTAATACAAAAATTATTAGAATTAATCAAAGTCAATTTCTTACTAGTCTAATTAACAACTTAAAATCTAGATTGCTCGAAAATTAACAAGATGATATGATTATTCAAGATAATTATTATGCAAATAATGGATATAACCAACTGGCCAGAAAATATTGACATACGATTTGGAGAAACCGA